CTAAAGAGGAATAACCTGGTAATGGCTCCTCGCATTGGCAGCTCTGAGCAGAGCAGTCTAAGCCAGAACAGGAAGCAGATGATTCTGCACTCTACTGACTAGTAGATGTGCAAGGAAGATTCAGTATGCCTCATATAAATTTGAGAAAGTTTTTGTCTCTTTCTCTGTCCCTATAAGGGATTTATCTAGGTTCTTCGGAAACAGCTGTGGTACCGAAAACTATTGGTCCTACACTGAATGTTTACTCTATCACACCTTAAACTATCTGAGCTTCAACTTCCCTCCTAATGCTTACTGTTGGAATTGTCTGGAACATAATTGACATAATTTAGATGTGTTTGGCCCAAGACAAGGCCTTAGCAAATAGAATTTCTTTCATTTCTTTGATATGCTATGAATAGCCCATGACAAAATTGTTAGCACTGTATTTTGTTTATTTTTATTAGATACCTGATATGTGACTATATCAATATTTAAAAATAAATCCCCAAAATATCTTTTTCAACTGGTAAATCTCTTAGTATATTTTAAATAATTGAGGTCTTTTAAGAGCACATGACTAAAATACCATTATTTATACAATATAAGTCCTTGATATCATCAATACTAAACTTATGCTTGATTTTCTTTTTCTCTTTGAGTGGATCGAGACAGTGTCTTGCTATATGGCTTCAGCTGGCCTGGTTCTCACAGTATAGTCCATGCTAGCCCCAAATTCATGACACTCGGCCTCCCTCACCTCTGAGCATTGGATTATAAGCGTGTGCCTCCATATCCAGCTGATTTTCTTCTGTAGTCTCAAAAATCCTTTTCTACCGTTATTTGATTTCAGTGAAAATCCAAAAGGTCGTCACAGCTTTGCATTGCTTGATATGTCTGACACATCTCAGTCATTCTGTACTTTCCCAATTTATCTATGGTATGTATTTATTGAAAAAAGTGAGTTTATACCCAGGCATAATAGTGCATGCCCTTAATCCCATCACTCAGGAGGCAGAGGCAGGTAGATCTCTATTAGATGGAAGTCATTCTTATCTACATAGCGAAATCCAGGCCACCTGGGGCTACAGGGAGATCCTTATTAGACCTTTTAAGAAAAGACATGAAAGAAAGAAAGGAAGGAAGGAAGGAAGGAAGGAAGGAAGGAAGGAAGGAAGGAAGGAAGGAAGGAAGGAAGGAAGGAAGGAAGGAAGGAAGGAAGGAAGGAAGGAAGGAAGGAAGGAAGGAAGGAAGGAAGGAAGGAAGGAAGGAAGGAAGGAAGGAAGGAAGGAAGGAAGGAAGGAAGGAAGGAAGGAAGGAAGGAAGGAAGGAAGGAAGGAAGGAAGGAAGGAAGGAAGGAAGGAAGGAAGGAAGGAAGGAAGGAAGGAAGGAAGGAAGGAAGGAAGGAAGGAAGGAAGGGAGTTCATCATTCCCACAGAATTTTCCAATTCAGAATTGGCTGATTTTATCTCAAGGTTCTTCCATGCCTAGTAAAGAAGACAGTAAGCTGTGCACTCGACTTCTGACTCAATCATGTATGAATCACTGTACTCGGAGACTTAGTGATACTGTTATCTGCCAGAAAATGCAGGTAGAAGTCATAGTAGCCATTTTATGCCTAAAAATTAATTAGTAATATCTTTAATTATGTGTACCTTTGGATGAGTATGTTCACATCCTTTTAAAATATTTTTATTTATTATTTTTATTTTATGTGTATGAGTGTATTGCCTGCATGTATGTGAGTGTACCCATGTCATGCAATGCCACGGAGGTCAGAAGAGAGCTTCAGATTCCCCTGGAACTGGAGTTAAGGACGGTTCATAGCCACCATGTGGGTGCTGGGAATCCAACCCGGGTCCTCTGCAAGAGCAGTCAGTGCTCTTAACTGCTGAGCCATCTCTCCAGCCCCAAGTTTACATCTTTTTAATAAAAAAAAATTCCTGGCCTGTATTCTAGGCTAGGTATAAAAATGTTTCACGGGGTCAATGAATTGAGAAGTAGTGAAAAATAAATCTTTCTTTGAAATTTTTAAGTAATTTCTCATAGTTGTTTAAGATGAAAGTAAACCCAGGAACATTGAAATAGGATTGGAGAGTTGTTTTGGAATGCTGAAGTTTAGGGGTACCCAATAAAGTATAACCTTCTCTTCCCTACCTGAGTTGGGAGCAGAAAAATCAGATGGGGGCAGGAAATAGAATACATGAGACATGAAAGCAGGGGGACACTATTTGGGTGGAGAAAAGGGACCAGCAAAGGGAAGTGATGGGGACTAGGGAGGGCAGTCAGAGAGGGGAACTAATACGAATAACGTATAATGGTACATATGTATGAAAATACCATACTGAAACTGTTACATTACTTTGTGTGATAACTTAAAATTAATACCAAGAAATCACAAAGGAAACAAGAAAAAAGAGCTGCTTCTGTGGTTGATAAAAACTTTGGAGTAGGCTGGAGAGAAGGCTCAGAGGTTAAGAGCACTGGCTGCTCTTGCAGATGACCCAGGCTCTGGTCCTAGCACCCACATGGTGGCTAACAGCCATCTTAAGCTACAGTTTCAGGAGATGTGACACCCTCTTCTGGCGTCCATTGGCATTAAACAGTATGGATGCACTTACATAAAATGCAGGCAAAACACTCATACATATAAAATATAAATAAATACAAATTTTTAAAAAAATGTTCGGAGAATGGAAATTAGGTCTACAACAATAAGAACTTGCAGACACTCTCACATGTCCTATCTTAGATATATCTTTCCCATAGTCAGGGCAGTTAGATGACCACAGACTTCCCTGAGCCCAACACATAAACAACGTCTTTTTTTCAAACTGTCACGTCTCCTCCTCTGTCAGGAAGAAGGAAATGAATGAGAAGTCAGGGTTTCTCCAAGAAAAACAACTCAAAGGAGGGCTAATCAACATGAGAACAAATGGAAATAAGTGGAACAATTGAAATCCATGATATAAAAGTGTTCTGGTTTAGATTCTGTTGCTATGATAAACACCATGACCAAATGCAGCTTGGGGAGGAAAGCGTTTATTTCATCTTACACCTCCCAGGTAGCAGTTCATCACTGAAGTCAGGGCACGAACTTGAGGCTGGAACTGAAGCAGAGACCATGGAGGAGCACTGTTTACTGACTTGCTTCCAGGTCCACATTCGGCTACCTTTCTTAGAAATGCCTCTACAGACAAGGCCACTGGCCAATCAGATGGACGTAATTCCCCAATTGAGGTTCTTTCTTTCCTTGTGTGAAGTTGACAACCATGATTAGCCATTGAAAAAAAAAAAGTAACCTACAGAGGCCTAATTTGAACACAGCATTTTCATTAAAGAACAGCCTCACATATAGTTACTCCCAACCTATATCAACTTCCACATTAAAGAAGCTCATGTTTAACTGAACATATGTTTGTGGAGTGCGTGCATATCACAGGGCAGATAGATTCCAAGATGGAAAAAGAACAGGCCTCACCCTCTGATGGATTCTCAGACAACGTATGTGTGTGGTTTATAGTGTCTAGGCATTGTATGGGGAGTTGGGTCAGGCACTGAGATGAACTGCACAACCCTCTGGAGGAAGAGACATGTTCAATTGCAGGGAGTGGTTAGCTGAGAGCCTCCAGTTTTCCAGCAGCTCTTTTACGGTATGGCCATGCTCCTTTGTGGTTCCGGACAACTTACTGAGCCATGTAGTAATAATAGAAGTCATACTAGTCTTATGAGATTATACCTAAAAACTAAAAAATGTGCTAAAACAATTGGTTGGCTATGTCCATCCAAAGCAGGACTCATCTACTGGGCAATCTAGGTTCCAAACTTCCCATTGAGCTGGTGTGGTATGACCACCTGTCTCAGTTTGCTAAGACTGAGAGTTTTCCAAAGATGTAGTACTTTCAGTGCTTAGTTCAGAAAATTTCTAGCTATAACAAGATGGCTGATCACTCTTTCTGGTATAGACCTTGTCAAGTCTGCATGAAGGTCTGACAGTTCCTTAATTCAATTCTGCTTCCTTCCCTTTTTCCTTGCACAGGTAAAACTCCCCAATAAACCTTTTACACCCCTGACTTCAGATCCGTGTCTGCTTTCCAGAATATATAACCAAGACAGAGGTATAAAGACCTCACAAAATCAGTAAAGACCCAGGGCCAAAGAAAAGGAAGGGAGGAAGGCAAGGCAAGGATGAACTTGAAAATTACAGGGCTCCATCTGGATATAAGGTTTCCAATGGATCGTTCATTTTCCATTCTTTGAAAGAAAGAAGAGACGTATTTAAAATATTCAGTGACTTAAGGTTCTTGGAACTGTACGTGAATACTCAAAATGAAGATTTTGCAAAATAAAAACAACTTCCTTGTCTCTATATTTTTCTTTAAATAGCAATGTGCTTCATTATTCATTTCTATTATTTAATAAGAAAAATGAAAGGAATATCAGTTTTTCTGAGAAGTGCTCTTAAAATCAAGAGACATTATGAATTGTGAAGCAGTGACCAGAGTTAGTAACAATGTATTATACTCCTAAAAATCACTGAATCAATTTAAACTGGCCTCATAGCAAGAAAAAAAAACCCTAACTACATGAGGTAATGCATATGCTAATTAGTTCAATCTAGCCTTTCTATAATGTGTACATATTTTGAAACATAATATTATACATAATAAATATGTACAATTTTTTCCAGTTTAAAAATATACATAAAAATTTTACAGCTCTAAACTGAAAAGAGAGAGAGAGAAAGAGAGAGAGAGAATGTTACTAGTCCAGGCATCTTTCATAGAGCAGCTAGCATGAGGCAAGGGACATGTTTGGAGTGTCAAATTTAAGGAGGCACTCACTGTTGGGGTCATGCGAATTCAGAGTAAACAATTTCATGAACTCCAGGGTGAGTATTTCCTTAAAGTTTGTACCTCAACACCCTGACTTGCCTTACCTTAGTCCTTAGTCCTGGTCCTGGTATCAACCATCATGATCTTGAATAACTTATGTAGAAACTTCCCTTTTCGGTGCCCCAGGTACAAAGCCATTGTCCGGCCAATGGACATCCAGGCATCACATGCCCTGATGAAGATCTGTCTCAAAGCTGCCTCGATCTGGATTGTCTCCATGCTGTTGGCCATCCCAGAGGCTGTGTTCTCTGACCTCCATCCCTTCCATGAGAAAGACACCAACCAAACCTTCATTAGCTGTGCTCCATACCCACACTCTAATGACCTGCACCCCAAAATCCACTCTACAGCTTCCTTTCTGGTCTTCTACATCATCCCACTATCAATCATCTCTGTCTACTACTACTTCATCGCCAGAAATTTGATCCAGAGTGCTTACAATCTTCCGGTGGAAGGCAATATACATGTCAAGAAGCAGGTGGGTGCTTACAATGCATTCATTTCCTCCTAGAAGAGCTGATCCCTTGCTTTAATTTCGAACCTCACTGACAATATTTAAGTGACCACATCACATGATTTTGCCATTATAGGAGATGAGCAATGCTTCTTTAAGGGTTTGGGGTGTAATGAAGTGATAGAGCACTTGCCTAGCATGTGCCAGGCTGTCAGTTCTAACCCCCGCCCCCACCAAGTGTGAAAAAGAAAAGGAAAAATAAAAGCATTTCGTGAACTCTTTGCTCTTTGCAGATGCTTCTTTTTTAATTGTTTGTCCAGGAAGAGATTTTAGGCAAAGCAGAGGGAGCAGGAAAATGAGACCGAGTGAAGAGAGAAAAAAATCTAAGAAAGGTTCACATTGGGGGGAAGTATAGAAGGTGACTATAGTTAAAGTGCATAACATACTTTTAAAAATGTCTTTCTGAAGCACATCACTATATGTAATACACATAGAGCAATAAACAAAGAAAGGTTTGTACTAACTGACTGGCTCAAATCCAGATTTGATTTACCCTCTCTGAGCCTCAATTTTCTTATTAATAATATAGGCTGAAAGCTCCTATTTGGGAAGGTTATTAGAAGATTATAAGAGCATATGTAAGACTTACAGCCTTCAGCATGCAGGATACCCTCCAAAATTTAGTCTCCCCCATCCCCCCCATAAGCCCTCATAATTTCATCCTGAAACCACAAATAATAGAAACTAAGGGTTCTGGCTTTTTTGTTTTTGTCATTTCATCTTGGCTTCTAGCCCAGATGGATGTGATGAGGAAAAACAGGCCCCTCCCTCCACTCCATTTAAATGAATAGCTGACCATATTTGGAAGGCTTCCCTTTCACAGTTCTTTTCCCTAATTGCCAAGAAAAAGTGGCAGTTGTCAGTGCAATGGGCTACCTATTTGAAAGGCCTCTTAGTAGCAAACATCCACTGTACCCCAAATTGTTTAATGAGAAGGAAGTTTCCCCTTGAGGCTACAAAGGGAGTTAGGAACAAAAAGAGATGTTCATTCCACTTTGTCTAATAACGTGCCTTGCTGTGTAGTCCACAAATAGTCAGAGATTAAAAAATAATAATAGAGAGTTATCTTGGCTTGGCCAATGAGGAAGAATAAAGCTGGCTGCTTTTTTGAGCATCAGAGAGGATAAGAAATTATTAACCATAGAGGAGCAAGGCATGAAGTAGTATGGCTGATAAACTGCACCAATGCTCTCTGGAGGAAAAAGAGGGCACTTACTAGAATTTCATTGTGCAATCCATTCGAGCATGTAATCAACTTTGTTTAAAGATCTGTTCGAAGCAGCATGTTCTAACTCTATTCTACCTCACAGCTTTCTGCTTCCTGGTTCATCCATCTGTGTGTTTCTGACTCTATTTTCTTTCCTTTTTCCTATCCCCCACCACTCTCTCTCAATATCTTCATCTGCTGAACTCTTTCTGTGACTCTGTGCCTTCATCTATTTCCCTAATTATATCTGCCTATCTCTGCCCGAATCTTCCTTTTCATTCGTCTCACATTGTCCCCTGTCCTTATGTCTTTCTCCCTGTGATTCTTTCCTTAGATCGAATCCCGGAAGCGACTTGCCAAGACAGTGCTGGTGTTTGTGGGCCTCTTTGCTTTTTGCTGGCTCCCCAATCATGTCATCTACCTGTACCGCTCCTACCACTACTCTGAGGTGGACACCTCCATGCTCCACTTCGTCACCAGTATCTGTGCCCGCCTCCTGGCCTTCGCCAACTCCTGCGTGAACCCGTTTGCCCTCTATCTGCTGAGCAAGAGTTTCAGGAAACAGTTCAACACCCAGCTCCTCTGCTGCCAGCCTGGCCTGATGAACCGATCCCACAGCACTGGCAGAAGTACCACCTGCATGACTTCATTCAAGAGTACCAACCCCTCGGCAGCCACCTTCAGCCTCATTAATGGAAATATCTGTCATGAAGGGTACGTCTAGACTGACCCTCAACCTTGCCTCCCAAGGGACTCTCAGTTTTGCTTTTAGGGGTGGTCAAAAGCCCTGGAATCTGTTGTCTCTGCACCCTTTCAGAGGCTGAGTGATACAGGTTGTGGGGGAGGGGTATCCAAATGGATCAGTCACTATTATGTCTCAAAGAAATCTATCAAGGCTTACTTTTCCATCTCAGCTTGTAAAAGTTCTTCTGATGGAGAGTAAATCTTCCCTTTTAAGAAAAAGGGGCAAATTGGAAAAATATTATTCAAAACATCAAGCCCTGATATACATAGTTAATTAAGTCATAGAAATTATATGAACAGAGAGCTAGGGAGCAGAGAAACCATGCATTGAATGTCTGCTTTGTGAAAGATTTCACCCTGTCATTTCTTTAAACAAAAGCTAATTGCTTTAAAAACACGACTTGACTCTTTTTTCCAGAAATATCTATAATATGTAAACCAAGGAACAAAATTAATTTACATTCCTAACACGAAAAACCAACTCTACGAAAGCATCTCATGTATGAGGAATGAACTCCATTTATAACACTGGGAGTCAATTTAATACAAACAAATCTCTAAAATTGATTTTTTAACTTGTTACTGAGGACATAGGAGAAACACTCAATATATAATTTTAAGACAAAAATACAACCAAAAACATAGATACATATATTGAAGATCCATGTGTGAGCTGGATGTTGTGGCACACACTTTTAGTGCCAGCACTTGGAGGGAGAGACAGGCCGATCTCTGTGAAATTCAGGCTAGCCTGATCTACATAGTGAGTTCCAGGCCAGCTGGGGCCACAGGGAGACCCTGTCTCAAAAACCATAGGAAAAAGATCCACATGTGGCTGTAGAGCAATATCTTCAATACCTTACATTCTGACTTCCCATTTCTTAGAAATCCTTACAGTTATTATCTTTTTTTGACCATTATTGTTTCATTTTACCATAGAAGAAGAGAAATCCTTTAGGAGAAAATTATCATTTTGCCAAGGTATCAACTATTTATTAGTGTATAAAGGATGTTATTTATTCTTGATGTACATGTTTTGAGCCAAATGTATTTACTTAGATTTAACTGTCTTTGCCACATTGACATAGTAGCTCCAATACAAGAAGGATCATATCTGTGTAAAAATAAAAATCAGATTTGTATTTAATGTATGGTTCCCCTTAACTTTGCGGAGGAAGTTAATAGAATTCCAATAACATCTATTTGTGTCTGAATATGTGTAAGAAAGTTACGGAAGGTTTAATTTTATGAACTGACTAAAAAAGGTATATATTTGTTTCTACTTTAAAAGAATATTTATAAAAATAGCCCACATGCAGAAAAAAACTGAATTGAAATCTTTGTCTCCTTCTAAATGAGTATATATTGTTATAAAATGTTTGGACTACTTTACTTGAGAACTCCTTCTTTGAGTTTTTGTAAACTTAAAGATAGGCCAATTCTGACAGATTGTGACTATGTAAACTCATTTTAATACACATTCAAATTCTGAACGTGTTCCCTACTATGTATGCCTTAAATTCCAAGGCAATTATAGTTAAACTTTCTCTACCTACATGAGATGCACACAGTAAGATCTGGTTTTCATACAGCACATATTTTTGTCAGTTGATATGGGGAAGTGCTCCTCATGTGTGGAGCCTTAGGAGTTAGGGCCAAGGCAGTTGTAAGGATCTGTGTTACAAATGTACTAGCTATAGCAAAACCTCTTCACTTATGCTTTCTACGTGCTCTTATATAACTAGAAACTCCATCTTTCCCGGTAGACCATAATTATATTGCACAGTTTGAAAAGCAAGACAGACAACAGAAGTGAATGAACCAAGATCTCTTGACAGTCGAACTCTGCCTCTAGCTACATGACTTTTGGGATGTTTTCCTTCTCTAGAGTCACTTTTCAGGTTTGAAATGAGAAGACAATGCTAAGTCCCTTCTATTGCTAAAATTCTCTGAGTCTCTTCATAATTTCGGGTTCTGTCTTGAAAGCATGTGTACCACCACTTCCTTACAGTTGCTCTGCCTGTTTCTCTTGCAACAGTAACTCTTTGTGAATCCGTCAACCACTCCTCCATACTCCTCTCCACATTGGTGGTGTGTAGAAAGACAGATCACTCTCATACCCAGGGGCTTCTTGGGATCACTTGCATAAATATTGTTCCATGAGCTTGCAGTGTTTTAGAATTAGAACTGAAAGACACTGAAGAAATCATGGCTTGACCTCATTATTCAAAGAGAACTCTTCCTGTTCACTCTTCTTCAACTTTCATGAGCCTATTCTTTTGAAACTTTGTCTTACAATTTTGCCCTTTTGTCTACCTTTGAAACCCTTGAATATATCTAGGCTTCATGTCTAGATAGCTGCTAACATAGATAGTAATCTGGATGCTTAGAATTCTGGTATATAGAATTTGGGGTCTAGCTTGAGCATCTCTAATATACCTTCTTCCAGAGATGGTTTAGGAACAGGACTTAGCTTCCTGGCTTCTTCAGTTAACATCAAGGCATAGATTGTGTGTCTCTTTCCTAGCTACTAGACAAAGAGTGAAAAGGTCAAGGTCTAAGTGTAGCTCTGTGAACTAAGGCAAATCTTATTACTTCCTTATGGCTTGTATATGAAAGTGTTGAAGGAAGTCTTTATCAGCCAGTGACCAACGACTGATGAAGCGTGCAGTAAATTAACTAATGGGTTGATCCAAATCTCCTTATGTGGATGGACTTAATATAAATCACACAAGAATATAAATCACACAAGAGAGACCATAGACCCATGTGGTATCGTTTCTCTGCCATGGCAGTGCATACAAGTGTTGTACCCGAGATGTTTCATGCCTGGCTTCCAAAGATAATCACATTTAGCACTTATATCTTTGGAGAAGGAAAAAAAATCAATTTTTGTTGTGGAAAACCATCTGTGTTTATTCAATTGACAGATACTACCTTTCAATCTATCTTAAATTGAGCCTCCCTGAGGCAGGCAGCTCAACAGTGATAGATTAAGCAATAAACAAAGCAGTCGTCCCACCAACGGCTGCTGCTGGCAGAAAAGGTGCAGTTGCTGTTGGGAGCGATATTCCGTAGCAAGATGATCCTCCCTGCTCAGTGCTGACAAGGCCCCTCCCTGTTGATGACTTTATTATTCCCCATAAATGTGGAATGGTTAAGCCCATTCTAGCTGCTCTCACTCCCCCTCTGAATCTGGTTTTCTGCCTCATTAACAAGACCTCTCTTCTCCACAAATAATTTGGTTACATCTCAGAGGATGGAGACCCTTTAGGTAAACTATTTAGAAGCTGCTACAGATGAACCAAACTCATCTTGTTATGGAAGTACACGTTGAACAGAAATACACTCGACTATAGGACATGTGCATACTTTGGTTATAAAGTTCTCAGTTCTGCCAAGAGTAACAGTTGGTTATTGGTTTCAGTGTCTCTTCATACATCAAATGGCTTCTAGTAAAAGGGATTAGCTTTATTTGGAGAATGACGTGTTGAATGGCATCCTCATCTGCAGGCTAAAAGGTAGCTGTATCACTTGTTCCAGAAGCCAGAAACATACAATCAGCCTGAGGACATGACTGCATGAGATTTGAATGAATAGTATCCACTTGGATCATAGTAACATGGAAGGGTTACAAACTTTCTTGCCACTCATACCCTTCACATACATACCAGGAGGAAGCTATTGTTGGAGAATAGATTTGAATTAGCCCTGGGGTTCTGAAAGGAACAGAGCACATTTTGCACACTTGTCTAACTTTTGGCAACATTTTCATGAAATGAATTAACAGCTGAAAGAAAACAAAAGAATTCTTTATTCTTATGGGACCAACCTCTGGGTGTGTGCTATTTGATGAAATTTAACCATTACAAACTCTACTTATTTCTGTATCTGGATTTCCCTTCCTCCCAGTTCTACTCAGTCACCCCTCCCACAGAGCATGAAGACACAGTGACTTTAATACTCCTCAATCACTCATTATAATTTGACCTTCTAGACTGGTGAGATGTCTCAGTGGGTAAAGTCACTTGCCGCCAAGCCTTACAGTGTATGTTCTGTCCCCTGGTGGAAGGAGAGAATCAAGAGAACAGATTCCCATAAGCTGTCCCACCAGCTTACACTGTGGTAAGTTCATGCCCCCACACATGCACATAGGCATAAATAAATGTATTTTTAAATATATAGCTTTGGCCTTCAAAGACACCCTTTGTAAGATGAAGGAAGGGCCAGCATTTACTCCAGCTGAATATATCTATAGCGATCAACAAATAACACACTGAGAACAAACGTCTTGTGAAACCTCACGTTAGAAATGCACTCAATGGGATTAACATACTCTTTAAAGTTTTAGTGTTGCACATATATTAAATTTAGGAGCCTTGGGTTACTATAGTACATGTCCATGATTAATCCAAAAGAGCAGTGCATTTATCTAGCGTTCATGGTATATACAGCACTTTCATACTCATTACCTCACCAACCCAAGCCTTCTCCACTGACCGAAGAATAAATTCACATAGTTTACTATGGAAATTGATGAGTATTAAATTCACTTACTGATGACCATCTGGCATTGAATTAAAAGGCCCATGGAACCATGAGGCTGAAGCATGAGCTATCGATATTAGACCACATTTGACCTACGAAAAGGCTATTTCATCCAGTTCAATTTAATCTGATTTCATTTTGTTCTGATATGAGCTAACCATGCTTTATTCTCATGGCTCATTCTGTGAAAATGATCATTACTTCCCCTGTCTCCAAGTCGTTTTGGTTCCCCCCCCATACCAAGTGAATTTGCTTATCTCAGTACAGGGGAGTTAATAGGGTCATTGTCGGCTACATATTAATGGGAACAATTTTCCATATCATAATGAAGTGGAAGGAAGAGACACAGAAGAACAGGATTCCCCAGAAACAAAAACAAGGGCCATGAAATGGGTTGTGTTTGTCCAAAATCTGAATGGAGTCTTGTGGCTTTGAAAATGCTGAGCAGCAAGGCCCTTAATGTCCCCAAGCATTCA